TGGGTCAGGCCCCGGCATTCCTCGTGGGCGACCACAACTTCCGGATCGGCGACTCCGGCTTCGAGGGGGTCTTGGGCATGGCAGGCTGGAGGGACCTCCCGGCAGCCGCGGGACCTACGTGTTTGCCATCGTCAGGCGAGCCCTCCCGCATTGACTACGTGCTGGCCAACCCCCAGGCGCTCGGCCTAGTGCAGAGGGTAGGGCTGCGATGGGACCTCGGCATCGCCACGCACGCGGCCTTACTGGTGGAGCTGCGCGCCGAAGCCCCCGAGCGCGCCCTGCTCAGGCGGCCGGTCGCTCCCCTTGATGGCGCCGCTCAGGCAGGGTGGAGTCCCGCCGCAGCGAGGAGCGCCACGGCCTCGGTGTTGGCCGGCTTCGAGGGCGCCTTCCGCGGTGCGTTGAGCACCCACGACATGGACGCCGCTTGGGCCACCCTCAGCCAGGCCATGCGGGCGCGGCCGGCTACCCGGATGGGCCTGGGGACAGTCCCCGAACGACCGCATGCGGCAGCAGCCTGGGAGGCTGAACGGCCCGCGACGACCGGCGGCGGCGGCGAAGCTGCGGACGCGGCGGCCGACGCCGCCCTCCTCCGGCTGCGGCGGCTGCGCGGGCTCCGGCATGCCCGGGGCCGCTCTCTGGCGGCAAAAGCACGAGAGGTGGCGGCAGCCACGCTCGCCGCCCTCCGTGCGGCAGATGCCGGGCAGCCAGATTGGTCTGCTGCGCTGGCGGGGCTGAGCGTGGACGAGGTGCTCCCCGACGGCGTGCTGGAGCAGGCGGAGGTCGCCTGGCGCTCGGCCCGCGCGAGCGCCCGCAGTCGCCGACAGGATGCCTGGCGCGACTGGGTCGAGGCAAGCGTGTCCAACGAACAGGGTCGTCTTTACCGCTGGATCCGCGGCGGCGGCGCCCTCGAGGCCGAGCTCGTGCCAGATCCGGCAGTGGACCCGGCGGCCTCTGTAGAGGTAGCAGGGCGGCGGCGTTGGCTCTTAGCGCTGCAAGGGGGGCCCGCAGCCCGCCTCCGCTTCTTCGAAGGCCCGCGGCGGCAGCTCTGGCAAGGGCGCTCGCCCCCACAGTTGGGGGAAGACTGGCTGCAAGAGCTGGGCGGCTTGCCCGCGTTCCCAGACTGGGGGCCGTGGACAGCGGACCTCGTGGCCGAGATCTTCCAGCGAATGCCCCGCCGGAAGAAAGCCGGGCTAGACGGGTGGTCGGTCAAGGAGCTGCGCTTGCTGCCGCGGGAGCTGCACGGCTGGATAGCCGACGTCCTGGAGGCGGCGGAGGCCGGCGGCCAGTGGCCTTCCGAGCTGGCGGAGCCCGAAGGCCTCCTGCTCCCCAAGCAGGGCGGGGGTGCTGGGCCCATGGAGCGTCGGCCCATTTGGCTCCTCCCAATGATCTACCGCGTCTGGGCCGCTGGCCGCGCGCGGCTGTTCGCCCGCTGGCGTCTTAGCTGGGCAGGAGAGGACGCACAGCGGGGCGCCGAGGAGCTGGTGTGGGAGCTCGCCGTGGAGCTGGAAGCCGCCGAGGCCCTGTCGGAGGTGCTTGCCGGCGCAGCGGTGGATTGGCGGAAGGCCTACGACAGCGTCGACCTGGCGACTCTCCCGGGCATCCTGGCCCGCGCGGGGGTGCCTGCATGGATCGCCCAGCCGGCAACGGGGGCGTACACGGCCAAGCGCCGGGTCCGCGTCGGGCGCGCCATTGGTGGAGCATGGTCGCCGGCTCGGGGCCTGCTGCCGGGCTGTGCCTTGGCGGTGTTCTTCCTCGGCGTGCTCACGCACCCGTGGTTCCGGCGCACGGGGTCCGTGGGCGAACGATTGCGGCGGCGCCTCTACGTCGACGACTTCACGCTGTGGGCCCGCGGCAAGGCCGACGAGGCGGGCGACGTCGCAGAAGCGGTCTGCAGCGGGACGCAGCTCACTGAAGCGTTCGAAACGGCCATGGGATGGCAACTCAATCACGAGAAGAGCCGCCTGTTCGCGAATGCGAGGGAGCTGCGGCGTTGGCTGTCCACCCAGGTGCCTGCGATCGCCGTCCGCTGCGGCTTCCGCGACTTGGGCGTGGTCGCCCATGTTGGGTCAGCCCGGCGTTGCGCTGTGGCCGGCGCCCGGGCGAGGGTTGCAGGGGGCCGCGTCGTGCGCGTCGGGCGACTGCCGGTGCCGTTCCACCAGCGTTGCCTGCTGGGCGCCGCAGCTGGCACCGCTGCCGGGCTGTATGGGGCGTCGTGTGGGCGCCCGCCCGCCCGGGTGCTCGCGGGCCTCCGGGCGGCCGCGCGGGCGGCCGTGTGCCGGGGCGGGCTGCGTGCCGCGGCCGAGGTGGTGTTCGGCGTTCTGAGCCCGACGTGGCGCCTCGACCCCCTGGCCGCGGTCACGATCGCGCCGCTCTGGCAGCTGGCAAAGGCGCTCCGCAGAGGCAGGTTCCCGCGCGATCTGCGGCGGCAGGCGGAGGGGGCCATGGCCGCGGGCCATGGGCGCGGGTGCGGGCCAATCGCCGCGGCCACGCGGAGCCTTGCGGCACTGGGGCTCGGGTCCGAGGTGGAGCTCTGGCGCGGCGTCCCTGGGCGCCCAGACGGGTGGCGGCCGGCCGACAAAGCCTTGCGTGACACCCAGCAGGTGTTGCTTGAGGCCTGGGCGCGGCGCGAGGCGCGCGAGGTGGCCGCCCGGCGAGCCGACTTCGCCCACGTCGGGGCTGGGGTCGACCGATGGGCCACCCGGCGCCTCCTCGTCAGCGGGCGGTTGGCGCCAGACGCGGCTGGCGCACTCCGCGCGGTGCTCGCGGGCAACGTGATAACCGAGTCCGTGGCCGCCAAGTGGGGCCGGCCTGCAACCTGCCCCCACTGCGGCGCCGCGTGCGAGGACCGGGAGCACCGCTTCTGGACCTGCCCAGCGTGGGCGGCCGCTCGGGGCACGGCTCTGCAGGGGTCTGGTTTCACGGAGGCCTCGCTCCGGGCCGCCCTGCCTCCAGGCGTGAGGCTCTCTGGGGTGCTGCCCGTGGACGTCCGGCTCGAGGCCCTGGCAGTGGCGGCCCGCGCGCCGCTCGCTTTGCCCCATCTGCCAGCCCCGGAGCAACCGGATCCGCGCCCGCAGCGGCTTCGTGCCTGGACGGACGGCGCATGCCTGCGCCCTTGCGACCCCCTGTTGGCGCGAGCGGCGTGGGGACTGAGATTGTTTTTTTATCCTCTGGGGGGTAACGCTCGTTACCCGGGCCTCTCCCCCCCCCCCCCCGTAACGGTACCGCTCGTGCGCGGGGGGGGTCTCGGTCTTCCCCTCCAACTTGCTGGTGCCCGAAGGCATGCAGTGTGGTGGTCGCAGGCGCACTGCGGGCGCTCGCAGGCCATTGCGGCGCTCGCATGCGCGATGCTGGTGCTTGCGGGCTTTGCGCTTGTACTCGAATCGTCGTCGTCGTCGTCGACGGCGCCCGAAAAACGGCCTCCGGAGTCCGACAAAGGCACGAAAACAACGTCGTCGTCGTCGTCGTCGTCGCCCTCGTTGCCGTCGTCGTCGTCGTCGTCGTCGTCGTCGTCGTCGTCGTCGTCGACGGCGCCCGAAAAACGGCTTCCGGAGTCCGAAAAAGGCGAAAGACGTTGTCGTCGTCGTCGTCGTCGTCGTCGTCGTCGTCGCCATCGTCGTCGTCGACGGCGCCCGAAAACGGCCTCCGGAGGCCGAAACAGGCGGCAAACGTCGTCGTCGTCGTCGTCGTCGTCGTCGTCGTCGTCGTCGTCGTCCTGCTCTATGGCCTTCCCCCCTAACATGCTGGTGCCCGAAGGCATGCTGTGCTGCTCGCAGGTACACTGCGGTTCTCGTGTGCTACCATGGCACACGCAGGCTTGTGCGGGGTGTTCGAGGACGAGTTGCGCTGCTCGCGAACGTTTTCGGTGCCGACACGGTTTGGCATGCTGTTGTATACGCGCGCGTCGTGGCGTTCGCAGGCGCGCTGGTGGTTCTCTAGCGCCCGCTCGCATGTGTGCCGCCGCGGTCGCCGGTGCTCACACGCATGGCGCCTTGACCGCAGGCGTGGCGCGGTGATCACAGACCGCGATGGCGGGGATAAGGAGGAGGAGGAGGAGGAGGAGGAGGAGGAGGAGGAGGAGGAGGAGGGGCAGTCGTGCAAGCGCTGTTTGGGGCAGTCCGCAGAGTGCGCCGAGGAGATCCCGCGTGGGCCAGCAGACAAGACGGCCCCGTCTGGTTTTGCCCTGCTGCCAGAGGACGGGTCGAAGGCCTTCTCGACCATGGACCACTCCTTTGCGTTTTCGGCCTCCATGCTCCTGAAGGTCAGCATCGTTGCCATCGGGAAGGAGCCCGAGAACACGGACGTGTTCACAGATGACAAGGGACGAGCTCACGTGCCGACGTCACGACCGTACATGCAGGACTACTACGTGCGTCCCTATAAGTATCCATTTGCGCTTGCGCGCCATTCCGACGCCCGGCGGGAAGTGCCGCTCCTCCCCGAAATAGTGCTTGCATCGGGTACATTGCACCACATAGATGGGTACATTGCACTGCATGTGGTCCACGCATGTACACCACGCACATGAACTGCGAGTCATAGATCGCGGTGGCGGACTGCGACATAGATGCTACTGCCCACGCGGAAGACATCTGGAGCAGCTATGGGACCCATCCTGCTCTCGGGCAGGCTTCGATCGCCTTCTTCGGGAGCGACAATGGATCTGATTTTGCACCAGACTCTCTTTGAGGTCCAGCATCACATGGGGCGCATTTTTCGCAAGTTCGATCATGCGATGTTGCTGTATGCGGCATGGCTGCGCCCCCCCGCTCCCGACGACGTCGGCGGCGGCGACGACGACGACGACGACGGCGACGACGACGGCGACGACGACGGCGAGGACGAGGACGACGACGACGACGACGACGACGACGACGACGACGACGGCGACCACGACGACGACGACGACGACGACGACGACGGCGGCGACGACGACGACGACGACGACGACGACGACGACGGCGCGAGGGGCTTCGGCCGCGCCATCCATTGCGCCGCCGCAGGGGCATGCGGACTCAGCACAGGCTGCTAATCACAGCAGCTGGCACTGGGAGGCCGAGCAGCCCCTGAGCTCAGTCAGGAGAGCGATCAGGGGCCAGGTGTTCGGGCACATCACGGACGACACCTTATCGCACGAGGAGCAGTGCGCAAAGATCACCAATATCGGCACGCGTCAGCTGATCGACACCATGACGGCGTACGCCCAGCAGTACGACAAGCGGTGGCACGTCACGGCGCGGTCTCCCAAGGTGGGGCCCGAGCACGTGCTGGGCGGGGAGCTCATCCATGAGTACTACCAGGCCCAGAGCCGGAAGAGGCAGTCGGATCCGAAGTTTGCGGCGTTGGCGGCGGAACCTTGGATTTCGGCATGCACATGTCCAAGATGCACTCGAGCTTCGTCTTCCGCATGTGCTGTGGGAAGAACAAGTGCGACACGTGCCTCGCTTCCATTGCGAGCAGGCAGCGGCGCGACCCCGACTGGACCCCCGAGGATGTGCTGGAAAGCTTGCGCGAGAACGGCTACGACATGTATTGGCCCGGGGAAATCCCAGAGGAGGCCCCCCAGGAGGGCCCCCTTGGTCCGCTCACCGTAGTGGCGGACGAGCGAGATCCCGGGCCGGCAGAGGAGCAGCGCAGCTACCCGACCTTCTTGGACATGTGTCTCCGCACGCAGAAAGAGATTACCATCCCCATCAATTCCAACAAGAAGGAGGTGCGCCTCCCGTGTCCTGCCGGGCGCCGCTGCTGGGTGGCGCGCAGCGCGACGCAGTTGAAGAGGCACCTTCTCTTCCACCACGGGCCCCCGCCCGCGGGGGCGGGCAAGGCGCCGGCCGGGGAGGAGGAGGAGGACGAGGGTGCGCGGGCGCCGCCCCCGCCGGCGCCCCGGGCAGGCGCGGGCGGCGCGGAACCCGTCCGCAGGAAGCCGGCGAAGGAGAGGAAGGGCGGCGAGCACAACGAGGACGGGGCCCGAGGCAGCAAATCCTGCGGAAACACCGTGTGCCGATTTCTGTGGCGCAACCAATGTGGTGCAACCTCTGCGGTGCAACCCATGCGGTGCAATCTACGCACAGACCGTCCGCCTCGTCGTCCTCTCTCCCCCGCCCCCCCTCCCCCAGGAGGGCGCACCTTCCCGCGGCGGCTTCATCGAGGCTTCCGACGTGGAGGACGAGGAGTGGGAGGCTTTCCGGAATTGGGCTCGGCAGGAGCGCGCTCGGCAGGAGGCCTCCCCCTTCCTTTTCTCTCTCCTTCTCCTTCCTCGCTCCCCTCCTCCCCCCTACCTCCTCCCCTCCTTCTCCTTCCTCGCTCCCTCCCCCCCCCTACTTCCTCCTCCCCCCCCCTACCTCCTCGCCAAGGCGCCGCCCGCGGAGGCCAAGGCGCCGCCCGCGGAGGCTAGGGGGAGTCGGCTTGCAGGGGGGGCCGGGCGCGGGGGAGGCGCCAACGACCGCGCCGATTCCATCGCGGCCCGCTGCCCCTTCCCGGGACTCTCAGGAATCCTCCGGGCCCAGTCGGCCTCGCAGTCGGCGCCGGCGTCGCGTCGCCCGCGAGCGCCAGCCGGCGGGCGGGCCGACCTTGTTGCGCATGTTCGGCGCGAGAGACCCGCGCGGGCCTCGCGCTGTGCCCGCGCCCCAGGGCGACGGCCCAGGCCCTTGTAGCCTCCCGCGCTGACGCGATGGCCTCGCGCGCGGCGCAGGAGCGGGCGCCGCCGACCGTTCGGTTCGGTTCCGCGCACTTCTCATGCGACAACGCAAAGCCCCCCATGCTGCTCGCGCGCTTTGCGCGCTGAGCAGCATGGGGGGCGACGGCCGCGCGTTCAATGGGAAGCCGCAGACCAAGTTTCCATTCCCGCGCGCGGGGCGGGGCATGAACTTACAGATGCGCCGACGGTCGAGAACTCGCTCGCGCGCCCGCGCCTGCCATGTTGGGCGTGCGCACTGGGCCCGGAAATCTGCGGTTCGGCCGCCCGATGCGCCCCCAAAATCGCACCGCCCCCCCCCCGCCCCCCTCCCCTTCAAAACTCTTCCGCGCTCTTGGAAAAACCATGCCGCCGAGGCGGGAGCTCGGGCCGCGGCCCGATGGTCCCCGGGGCACAGGGGAATCAAAGGAATCAGTACGGAATCAGTACAGAATCAAAACAGAATCGGCACAACTGCGACCCCTGATTCTAGCGGAATCAAAAGAATCAGTACGGAATCAATACGGAATCAAAGGAGGAATCGGCGATGGAACCAGAATCGGCCAGAACGGGGAAGTAGGCCAGAATCGGTCTCAGAACCCATGGAGAGAGGCTTTTTTCCCGCGAGTTCATTGCGGCGGGTCCGCGGCGCGGGCGCGCCGCGCGACTTCGCTGGTTCAGCGAGGCGCGCAGTCGGCGTTCAGGGTGAACAGGTTGTTTTCAGGGCGATATCCTGGCGGCGCGCTGGCGCATTGCGCATTTGCGTATTCCTGGCGGGCTGTTTGAGGGCGACCCGGCAGCGTCGGCCGAATGGCCCGCAAATGCCGCGCGGCCGATCGCGCGCCCCATGCGGTCACGTCGACCGCCGTGTGCCGCGACGGCCGCGCGCCCCGGGCCGCGCCATTCCCGCGTTGGATTGGACGGCGCAGCGCCCGTCCTCCAAAAGTCGTTACATGCATATCGCGCGCGTCGAGCCAGCAGCAATCGCTCCCAGAAGCAGCCTTGACAGGCGCCCTATGCCCGTTGTCGCCCGGTTCCGATCCAAATCATAGTTTCTTAGGATGCGCTTGCGCGAATGCGAGCGCGCGGGCAAGTAACGCGTGCGCGCGCTTGGCGCAGCCTGGGAAATCTTACATGGAGCCCCCCGGGGGCGCGGGGCGCCGGCGACGCTTCTGCCCGCCTCCCGCGCGCCCGACCCCCCCCGCAAGCCGACTCCTCCTAGCGGAGGCTGCGCCCGCGCCCGAGGGGGCGGCCGAGGCACCGCCCGCGGAGGAGGAGGGATCCGATCCCGACCGCAAGCGGCGCCGCGTCGGCGAGGCCGCTGAGGGCGCACGGGCGCCTAGAGGCGCGAGGCGCGTGGAGGGCGAGGACGTCGTCGCCGACCTGTGCCCGAACGGGGTGCTGAACGGCATCTCCTTGAAATGTGCACGCTGCAGGTTCACAGGGCTAGATGCATCGTCGTCGTCGTCGTCGCCGCCGTCGCCGCCGCCGTCGTCGTCGTCGTCGTCGCCGCCGCCGTCTTTGTCGTCGTCGTCGTCGTCGTCGTCGTCGTCGTGGTCTCCGTCGTCGTCGTCGTCGTCGTGGTCGTCGTCGTGGTCGTCGTCGTCGCGCCGCCGTCGTCGTCGTCGTCGCCGCCGCCGTCTTCGTCGTCGTCGTCGTCGTCTCCGTCGTCGTCGTCGTCGTGGTCGTCGTCGTGGTCGTCGTCGTCGTCGTCGTCGCCGTCGTCGTCGTCGTCCGTCGTCGTCGTCGTCGTTGTCGTGGTCGTCGTCGTCGTCGTCGTCGTGGTCGTCGGTCGTCGTGGTCGTCGTCGTCGTCGTCGTCGTCGTCGTCGTCGTCGTCGTCGTCGTCGTCGTCTCCGTCGTCGTCGTCGTCGTCGTGGTCGTCGTCGTGGTCGTCGTCGTCGCGCCGCCGTCGTCGTCGTCGTCGTCGCCGCCGCCGTCTTCGTCGTCGTCGTCGTCGTCTCCGTCGTCGTCGTCGTCGTGGTCGTCGTCGTGGTCGTCGTCGTCGTCGTCGTCGCCGTCGTCGTCGTCGTCGTTGTCGCCCTCGTGGTCGTCGTCGTTGTCGTGGTCGTCGTCGTCGTCGTCGTGGTCGTCGTCGTCGTCGTGGTCGTCGTCGTCGTCGTGGTCGTCGTGGTCGTCGTCGTCGTCGTCGTCGTCGTGGTCGTCGTCGTCTTCCCCGTCCTCCTGGTTTGCTTCCCACAGTTACACCCGCAACCTGAGCTACGTGAAGGCTGGCTTCGACAGAGAGGAGGCGCTCGCGCGCTTGAAGCGGTGGCGGGACACTTGCACGGGCGACAAAGCGCTGCACAAGCTCAGGGGGCAGGTGCCGTTGCTGGCGGATTTCGCGTCCGTCTGAAGGCTCTCGCACTTGGACAGGTGGCCCTGGCTCGTAGGCCCGTCATGACACAAACGAGCCCCGCTGAGAATTGCGTCCGTTTTTGATTGTCCGGGGGCCCCCGGGATTTTGTGCAAGCCCCGGGAGTATCCAAAAACGACCTGGGATTCAAGGCTGGTCCACAGGGGCCGTCTCTGCGGCCCAAGACCATTCTTAATGGGGCCCGTTTGCTTCATAGACGTGGTCCAGTAGATATCCTTGCGGGCAGTGCCGACGGGCACTGCAGTATCCTTGCGGGCAGTGCCAACGGGCGCTGCGTTTGTGATCGGCGGCGTGGCGCGCTGCAGGTGCCACAGAAAAGATGTCGCCATCCACTGTCCTGCTGCGGCCGCTCCCCACGGGGACGAGGTCTACACATAACCGCTGCCCCTGGCCAGGCTCGTCCGAGGCCTAGGGCCGGAGGAGGGCTTGGCCAGGGGCAGTAGGTCATGTGAAGACCTCGCCCCCGACAGGAGTGGCCGCGTTGCCATTCCCACAGCCGCCGCGATTGGCTGAAGCAAAGGCGGTTGAAGGATGCGCCGCGCATATTCAGCAGGCCGACGCCGTTCCGCAGGCCCCCGAGAACACGAGGAGGAGGAGGGGGGAGGGGACAAGGAGGAGGAGGACGAGGAGGAGGAGGAGGAGGAGGAGGAAGAAGAAACATATAAGAAGGAGGGGGAACTTGAAGAGGAACGCATAGATTGCACTGCAGCGCTCTGTGGTTCTCGCAAGCGCGCCGTGGTGCGTAGTTTTCGCGCTGTGGTGCGGTGGTCGCAGGCGCACTGTGGGCGCTCGCAGGCCATTGCGGCGCTCGCATGCGCGATGCTGGTGCTTGCGGGCTTCGTCGTCGTCGTCGTCGTCGTCGTCGTCGTTGTCGTCGTCGTCGTCGTCGTCGTCGTCGACGGCGCCCGAAAAACGGCCTTTGGAGTTCGAAGAAGGCGAAAAACGTCGTCGTCGTCGTCGTCGTCGTCGTCGTCGTCGTCGTCGTCGTCGTCGTCGTCGTCGACGGCGCCCGAAAAAAAACGCCTCCGCATGCCGAAAAAGACGAGAAAACGTCGTCGTCGTCGTCGTCGTCGTCGTCGTCGTCCTCGTCGACAACGGCGCCCGAAAACGGCCTCCGGAGGCCGAAAAAATATCGAAAAACGTCGTCGTCGTCGACGTCGTTGACGGCGCCCGAAAAACGGCCTCCAGAGGCCGCAAAAGGCGAAAAACGTCGTCGTCGTCGTCGTCGTCGTCGTCGTCGTCCGTCGCCGTCGCCGACGTCGTCGTCGTCGTCGTCGTCGTCATCGTCGTCGTCGTCGTCGTCGTCGTCGTTTTCATCGTCGTCATCGTCGTCGTCGTCGTCGTCGACGGCGCCCGAAAAACGGCCTCCGGAGTCCGAAAAGGCGAAAAACGTCGTCGTCGTCGTCGTCGTCGTCGTCGTCGTCGTCGTCGTCGTCGACGGCGCCCGAAAACGGCCTCCGGAGGCCGAAACAGGCGGCAAACGTCGTCGTCGTCGTCGTCGACCTCGTCGCTCGTCGCTCGTCGATCATCGTCGTCGCGCGCGCGGGCGCGGGCGTGGTGCCGGGACCACGCGGCGGGCTTTGCGCTTGTACTCGAATCGCAAGCCACTGTGGTGCTCTCAGGCAGAGAGTGCTGCTCGCGCGCATACTATGGCGATCGCAGAG